GTGCGACCTCTCGTAGGACTTGACAGCTGTTGAAGACTCGAAAAGAGTGAGTCCGTCCGCGACGCGATGAACCGACCAGCCATTCAGTGTGACCAATCGCAATTATGGATTGAAAGCGTGTCAATCAGTCTCGCCGCGGAGGCCATGAATTCGAAATTAAAATGATTCGAAAGTCGAATCGTAAAGAAGCTCATTGAGCTTAGCTCAAGAAGCCAAATTCCTCGAGGGGAAGGTTATGGAGGACTTTCCGTTCTCATAACGGAGTTTAGCCATCGCGACGGTCTTGCCCCGCCCCCGCTCGACTTGTCGGGTATAAATCTAGATTGAAGAAGGGAGAACTTCAGAAGTTCAACTTCTGCCTGCGATCGGCTGTGCTTCTCGAAAAACTCATGAGTTATGAGTGATTATAAGAGGTTCTCATACCTCGAGGAGTTATGCCTCACGGAGACTTTTGAAATAAGCCCCCGGGTACATCACCCAACATGAGCTTTCAAGGATCACGAGGAGACTCCTCAATGTCCAAGAGGTGATCTTAAACGGAGCCCAGAATCTTAAAATCCGGTGAGGCTCGGAACCTCAGGTTCCTGAGCCCCTCCTGACAAGGGGTTCTTGAACCTCACGTAGCTCTCCTTCAAAGAGATTTTGGAGAGGTCCCTATTGTTAAACTGTAGACTAATAGGCAAAAGACAGACATTGATTGGCGTACCATGGGATAACATCAACTGTGGGACGGTTAGTGGGGATCTCGAGGGGGAACACGCGGCCCATCATCGTGAAAAGCTGGATGGAGATGAAACCGACGAAAGCAATACGGGGGACCTGAGTAAAGGACGAAGAAGAGGATGCGATGGTGATGGCAATATGATGGAAGATCCGTCGAGCAGAAGAGGCAGTATCATCTTAAGGGGAGGCTCAACTTACTCTGATGAAGATCATTGTGAGAAGGGTATTGAGCGTTATGCAGTGGATGGCACCGAAGTATATGGGAGATGTGGGAATGAAGATATACCTATCACGAGTAATGACAAGAACAACCAAATGATGCTCGTAAGCGTGATTACGTTAGGGCGCTTATAATCCCTGCTGCTACTCCCAGCTTGAGTGTTCTAATGATGAGGTTTCTCCATTTTATTCGATCCTCGTGGACTATCGCCAGGGATAGTCCGACGCAGAGCATTATCGTGCACACACCGGATCTCTCTGATTCCCAACATAGCATGTAAATGCACGATAGAGTGACGACGGGGAATCTGAAGTTGACTTGTCGAATGAACAACGTTCCACTACAGATGACATTCTTACAGTAAGTATTGGATACACGGATGGATGAGGCGGCTGAGGTTCCCCCAGAAGAATGATACGCTGTAGAAGGCCAAGAAATACAAGTAGTTTGTGATCGGTAGATTATAACCAGCCACATCGGGGAAGTCAGGAATGATCTCGAAATCAGCGAGTACCCAGATCAAGGTGGAATGTAACAACGAATAGTATGG